TGGATTCCTTTTACAAAACTGAACTTGGCTGCCATATCGACCCAGCGAAAAAATGGGCACCATGGAATATCATAGGAAGTAAATACGACTAGCTCGCTGCTGACCATATCATCCATAGAGTACCTAATAGTTGATTAAAATATGTGTCTTGCGCAATATGCACTATACATCTCATCTCAAAGGAAAAAGAAAATCTGTTTGTCCCTTTCTTAAATCTGTGTATAATGTTCTGTATTCATTAGCATTTTCTAGCAATCTCTTTGTCTGGTTGTGTCAAGAATTAGCAATATTCATCTAAGAAATCGTGCCTCTGTGATGTCAGTCACCGACATAAGGTTGGCTGGTGTATCAGGGGGTACCCGGTACCTCACCTCGGGCTCTGAAGAACTCTGCTGGTTTTAGTCAACATCGTGAAATACGACTCCGACTATCTTAATAAAACCCACTTCGGTTGAAATGTCTGGCGAGAGAAGATGAATGATACAAATATATGTCAAGAGAAGATTAAAGGTTTAAATATATATCGGGAGAAGATTAAAGGTTCAAAGGTCTGTCAGGAGAAGATTAAAGGTTTAAATATCTGTCTAGAGAAAATGAATTATACAAATATCTGTCAAGAGAAGATTAAAGGTTCAAATATCTGTCAAAAGAAAATTAAAGGTTCATATGTCTGTCAGGAGAAGATTAAAGCTTCATATGTCTGTCAAGAAAAGATTAAAGGTTCAAATATCTGTCAAGAGAAGATTAAAGGTTCAAATGTTTGTCAGAAGAAAATTGAAGGTTCAAATGTCTGCAACTATAGATTGCACTGTGCTAATCGGAATATCAGGACAAGCCTTGCCTGCAGAATGTACGCCATGACCCTGTACGTGCATGTCCCTATATTGAATATTCCGAGGGATTTGTGTGGAAAGTGCTCTTGTCTGCTTAGAAAATGAACTCGCTGAGGGAGCGAAGTGTCCGTTCTGTGAAGTTAACGGGAGTCTCGTATTTGCGAATTGCCTCTTGTTGGCCTCTAAAATGGATAAAGATTCAGTATCCTGATGGTAGGTTAGATTATGTGACTTGACAATTCTTTGGGCGAGCCGTGTACCTGGGCGCGCTGCAGCAGCTTTGCGTTTATTGAGGCCTTGCTGCAAGGCTGGGCATATCCATGTTCTGCCCTTGTCTTTCCTCAAGAACCAACCAACCTTGCAAGCTACTGTTTTGTGAGGGGTTGGAGGTCGATGGGTGTTCACCTTCTGTGGATTAGAAAACGAGGATTAGAAGAAATAAGAGACAAAAAGTAATAGTAGCCGCAGTAATCTGGCTGGCTGTGTGGATTTTTATTATGGTATGGGGCATCGCCGGTCGACCCAACCTTATTAGGGTACCAGGATGTATGTCCTAGGAAAGTAAAGACGACCGGCATAATGCTGACCACATTACCCAGCTAGTGCCGTTTGATCTGTAAAAATATAGGTGCTCTTCCCATATGCCCGATGCGCCTGAATGCGTGAAAAGGGATCTTTATTTTTTTACTTTACTTAGTAATCGTAGGAGGAAAACGAGAAGGAGATATAGATGTAGAATAGAGAAGGAGATATAGAGGCTGTAGACCTAGAGATAGAAGATAAAGATCCACGCATAAATATAGAAGGAGATATAGATGTAGAATAGAGAAGGAGATATAGATGTACTTAGCAGAGGAGAAAACGAGAAGATATAGATGTAGAATAGAGAAGGAGATATAGATGTAGAATAGAGAAGAAGGAGATATAGATGTAGAATAGAGAAGGAGATATAGATGTAGAATAGAGAAGGAGATATAGATGTAGAATAGAGAAGGAGATATAGATGTAGAATAGAGAAGGAGATATAGATGTAGCAGAGAGAAGGAGATATAGATGTAGAATAGAGAAGGAGATATAGATGTAGAATAGAGAAGGAGATATAAATGTAGAATAGAGAAGGAGATATAGATGTAGCAGAGAAAAGGAGATATAGATGTAGCAGAGAGAAGGAGATATAGATGTATCAGAGAGAAGAAGATATAGATGTAGCAGAGAGAAGGAGATATAGATGTAGCAGAGAGAAGGAGATATTCTTCTGTAGAATATATTCTTCGTCTTCTTCTTCTAGAGAAGGAGATTTAGATGTAGAATAGAGAAGGAGATATAGATGTAGCAGAGAGAAGAAGGTGATCATCACAGCATGATGAGAGCGGTGCAGCGAGGAGTGACAAGGGGATCTGGCCGGTAGTCGAAGCTCAAAGGAAAGGCAAGGCGGACATTTAATCAGACTGCTACTGGCACCACTGGTATTGGAGCTCTGCCGTGGCTGCTGAAGATGGGGACGGGGCACTTCTGGAAATGCGCCGTGTTTCTTGAATCAACTCAACTTCTTCTTCTTCTTCTTTTTCTTCTTCTTCTCCTCCTCCTCCACCACCTCCTCCTCCTTCTTCTTCTTCTTTTTCTTTTTCTTCTTCTTCTTCTTCTTCTTCTTCTTCTTCTTCTTCTTCTTCTTCTTCTTCTTCTTCTTCTTCTTCTTCTTCTTCTTCTTCTTCCTCTTCACATTTTTCTTGTTGTTCTTTTTCTTTTTCTTCTGTTTCGTTCATCCGAAGATGTGGATGCGTTGTGTCCATTTACAGCATGCCTCCGATATTTGCGCCTTCCGGCCGACACATCCAACTTCTGCAGACATTTGATGTCCGGGTTAGCCTTCCAGTCTTAACCCTCCCGGGTTAGTTTAGTTTTAACATAGTTTGAAAATGTGTGTTTTTATGCACAATTTTTATAATCCGTTTGGATATAGTTTTGAAAATTATAAATCCGAACAACGACCAGTTCGACTTACGACATGTTAGTCCGAACGGACCTCAGTTGTAATTCAAGGAGACCCTGTATTTAGTTGTCCCATGATCTAATGTTACCGTTTATTATACAGAGTGATTTCAAGAGCGGGTAGAAAAATCGATGCAAAAGCTAACCGTTCATACCGAGCTTAAATTTCGCTCTTGTTCTTGCACTCCACCAACTTTCAAAACCAGCCCCTGTCTCGTCCACACGTAAACATAGCGAGATAACTATATTTGTTATCTCCCATATAACTAAATTATTTTGTAAGCGGAAATTGCGCATGTTGTCCCAAGTGGTTTCTTGTCCATCGTCAAAAAAATAAGATCGATTTCATCAGCGTCGCAGTTTCTTATCACCTGCTATTGAATAATTTTTATGGATCACACAAACTGGCAGGACACGGATGTTGTGTTTTTACCTGATATGTTCAATTTATTTCCTTTGAGATTATTATCATTGCACCCGGAAGTGCAACGGTTATTTGCTTGGCTCAAGTTCCGGGGCCCCATTGGCAAGAAAACAGACTCGCTGACTCCTCCCCCTCTCCCGTACACCGCGACCACAGCCTACTCTATTCACCCTGGAGCTGGTCGTGACAGCGACTAATTAGTGGTTTGCTGAATCCGGATGTGTTTAACCAAAAAGCGCAAATCACAAGACAACATAACTAATGCCCCGTTAAGGACGAACACGTAGAAGAAGAAGAATTCAAGGTCTTATTCACGTTTCCCGGCCCATCTACACACTGGCTGACCTTTTTTTTTTTTTCATGCTTTCTCAAACTTTTTTTTATGTCAGATGGGTGTCACGTTATCTTGCCTCCAGTTACATCAGCGCCGATGTCGCGTGTTCAAAAGGAAGACCCTTTTCGAAGAAAACAGTACAACATGACACCCCTCTGACCTAGACCGGACTGAGAAAGTGTGTAGATGGGCCAGGAAACGTTAATAGGACCGAATTTAAATATGCATAGGGCGGAATTTTACAGTTGACCTAGTGCTGTCGAGTGGATATGGCTATAATATAGACAAGTGGTTAGTAAATGCAGGGTGGCGGCTTGTTCACCACATCACCACACCCAACACCGCTTGGTCTATAAAATCATGGGTCTAGAACTATATGCTTGATGAACCAATGACATCTAAAGCGTCCTTTACTAACGAGCAGTCTATCAAACTTTAAAATTGTGATTGAATTTACAGTAATAATGCCATTACCCTTTATCACGTCAAAACCGTTGTTAAGGTTGTCAAAAAAGTTAAGCACGTGACATCACGATGCACACCAACAAAGTGACGTCATAATTACAGTTTAAATAGCTACTCCACGCTTGATACGCACCAAAGAGGAGCAACGTTCTGTTATCCGTTTTCTTTTTCTTCTTCTTCTTCTTCTTCTTCTTCTTCTTCTTCTTCTTCTTCTTCTTCTTCTTCTTCTTCTTCTTCTTCTTCTTCTTCTTCTTCTTCTTCTTCTGCTGCTGCTGCTGCTACTGCTGCTTTCTTCTTCTTCTGCTGATCTTCTTCTAGGGAAAATTTCTTCTTCTTAACTTTACAACAGCGTAGGACGATTTTTGGGGAGCAGCAATTCTTCTAGTCTTCTTCTTCTTCTTCTTCTTGCAGGACCGGCACCATTACAGCGAGACGCTTTTCTTTGAAAAGGGAATCTGAGCTTCTTGTCTGTGATGTGAAGACTTCTTAACTTCTTCTTCTTCTTCTTCTTCTTACTTCTTCTTGTCTTTAATGTTGCTGAGGGGGGGCTGCTGCTGAGGCTGCTGTCCGCTTTTAAATCAGTATAGGGTAAGGGCTGGGATAACGTGGATTCATAATTCGGTAGTGAGGCAAAAAAAAACAACAAAAATATTACAACAGCGTAGGACGATCCGAAGATTTTGGGAGCAGCAATTCCACATCACTGCTAGTAATACCAGAAATGGGAAACGAAGCAAGGATCGGTGCATAGCCAACCTCAAACCTAATGTGGCATGATGTCCGATGTATGTATTCAATATTTCTTGTACCGCGCACGTATAAGAAGTCTTCTGAATCAGTGCAGGACCGGCATCATTAACAGCGGACGCTGACGTTTATGTTGAAAAGGGAATCTGAGCTCCGATGGACTTGTCAGGTGTTTTCTGTGTCAGAGACAATATAAAACTCGATAACTCAACTCACGCTCACAGGTCATAAGGCAAAAAATAGTATGGCATCTTTCTTTTTTGTCATGTTGCTCACTTGATACCAGGTAGGTGCACAAACTCTTCTGAAATAAATAACCAAAAAGGTGACCATGAGCCTGATTTTTCGTTGTCCTTTAATGTTGCCGAGGGGGCTGCGTGGTCTCGTGGCATGGTGTCCGCCTCGAGTACTAAGCGTTCAGGGTTTAATCCCCGGAAAGGGCTGGGATTTTTCACTTGGATTTGGAATTCTAGTAATTCTCCCCTGGTCTCTGGGTAGTAAGATCAGTTCTGCGATATTTGCTACACTGGGTCAACTTCTCCAGGCATGTGTTGACCTGGTTAGACTTCCTGATTGGTAATCAGACTTTCAGGTTGCTTATGGTCATTTCATTTGCTTATTAAAGGCGTGTATTTATTGAATATTGTAAATTATTTTTTTTGCCGACAATTCTTCATTAAGTAAAGAATTAGAACGATAGTTGATAAACACTGTATTTCTGCTCAGCCAACTTCCTGTGCCCCACATATTTCCTGATCAAACGTCAAAAGATTATACTTATGACTTGAAAGATCCAGTCCTGGGAGTACAGAACAACCACTCCGTGCGTTTAATATATACAGATATACCAGTGTAAATTAGATATCTATCGAAAATGGAGAATACTTCAGCTATTATATCGTGTCACAATAAAAAAAAAAAGTGGTTAAAGAGTTAGACGAAGGTTAAGAAATAGATGGATAAATTGTATCCCAGGTATTTAATTCAAACAGGCTCGTGACACGCTTTGTTCTAGATAGGAAACCTCAAGTTCCAACTGCTGCCATTTTCTTCTTCGCTTTTAGCAGCAGGTTGAATCAAACCAAGCATGGAGAGCAACCGTCCTCTTGAAGGTATACAAAAGATAATTATAATCTTAAATAAATTATATTTATGGTTTTTTGTCCTCATTAAATTATTCATTGAACTTGTTCAACTTGTCTTCTGGTTGCAGGGTGTGATGGTCGGCATGGGTCAGAAAGACAGCTACGTCGGCGACGAGGCCCAGTCCAAGAGAGGTATCCTAACTCTCAAGTATCCCATTGAACACGGTATTGTCACCAACTGGGACGACATGGAGAAGATCTGGCACCACACCTTCTACAATGAGCTGAGAGTTGCACCTGAAGAGCACCCAGTCTTGCTGACAGAAGCTCCACTGAACCCCAAAGCCAACAGGGAGAAGATGACCCAGATTATGTTCGAAACTTTCAATTCCCCAGCCATGTATGTCGCTATCCAGGCCGTACTGTCCTTGTACGCTTCAGGTCGTACAACAGGCATTGTACTTGATTCCGGAGACGGCGTCACTCATACTGTGCCCATATACGAAGGTTACGCCCTCCCTCATGCCATCATGAGACTGGATCTGGCTGGACGAGATCTTACTGATTACCTGATGAAGATCCTCACAGAAAGAGGATACTCGTTCACCACCACCGCGGAGAGAGAGATCGTGCGTGATATCAAAGAGAAACTGTGTTATGTCGCCCTTGACTTTGAGCAGGAGATGCAGACAGCTGCCACGTCATCCTCTTTGGAGAAGAGCTATGAACTACCAGACGGCCAAGTCATTACCATAGGCAATGAGCGTTTCCGGTGCCCAGAAGCAGAATTCCAGCCATCCTTCTTGGGAATGGAGTCAGCAGGGATTCATGAGACGACCTACAACTCTATCATGAAATGTGATGTGGATATCCGCAAGGATCTCTACGCCAACACGGTCTTGTCTGGAGGGTCAACCATGTTCCCTGGCATTGCTGACCGCATGCAGAAGGAGATTACATCCCTTGCCCCAGCGACAATGAAGATCAAGATCATTGCTCCTCCCGAAAGGAAGTACTCTGTGTGGATCGGTGGTTCAATCCTCGCGTCTCTCTCCACCTTCCAGCAGATGTGGATCTCCAAGCAGGAGTATGACGAGTCTGGTCCAGCCATTGTTCACAGAAAATGCTTCTAAAATCTATGTGAATTTATTCAGTCAAATCTTTCAACATTAGAGACAATGCCATAGTTTATTCTGCTAATATTTAAAGAATTTTGCAAAAATCGACATGCTACTTCGCTTGTAACAGAAATCTTCTCGCCGTGTTCAAAACCGTGGTTTAGTCGTCAAATAAGTAATAGAGGGGTGTTTTGTTCAAGGTATCACAATGACATAAAATACTAGTAGATAATATATTAACATATTACTACTACTACTACTACTACTACTACTACTACTACTACTACTACTACTACTACTACTACTACTACTACTACTACTACTACTACTACTACTACTACTACTACTACTACTACTACTACTACTGCTGCTACTACTACTACTACTACTACTACTACTACTACTACTACTACTACTACTACTACTACTACTACTACTACTACTACTACTATTACTACTACTACTACTACAAAGAAAAGTAAAAAGCTAATATTACTACAACTACTACGAATAGTACTACTAATAAAGCTACAACTAATACTATTACTAACAATACTAACTAATGCAGCCTGTTTTACCACCATTTCTATTACTACTACTTATCCTGCCGCTGGTGCCGTTAACCTCCCTATACAGTGTTTTTCTGAGGTGAAAAATGTCGTCGTTTGTATCGCTTTTATCTGTTCGGTTTCGAAATCGATTTCACGGATGCGGGTGTCTAAAAGACCAGCGAGGATTGTCGCCGGAGCTATAGGGTTTCATGCTTTGTGTGACACTTTAATTGGGTAAACAGTGGTCGAATGATAGAGAGGCCGAGCTTTCTGGAATCAAACCCGGCGATCATTTGCCTATAAGGTTGTTTGAATTGTTTTTATTCTTCTTTTTATTATTATTATATTCAATGTTAGCTTTTGCTTAGATAGATAAATAACACAATATTATCTTCTACTTCTTTCCGTTCGGTTTCGTATGCTCAGGTGAGATCGCCAGGTTGGATGCCTCTATGAATTCGCGTGTCAGCTGCAGGTCCCCCATGGTTTCCTACAGATGGCTCTGCACTTTTTGCTCGTGATATCAGGTTTCTCTTCATATCTGAAGTAGATTTGGCAGGCCTGCAGAATGTGCTCATGTGTTTGTAGAGGCCAGGTTTCTCCTCATAGCTGAAGTAGATTTGGCAGCCCTGCAGAATGCATTCATGTGTTTGTGGTCCTATCTGACATGCACACATTAATTTTAAATAAGGTACACTTGAAAATTAACTACTCACTGTACGTTTTTGTACAGTTACATAAAAAGTACTCCCCGCTGCACTCTTGTACGACTTCACCACTGGTTCCTTGCTCTTTTAGTGTTTCATTTTTATATTTATAACTTAACAGTGTTGCTGACGTCCAGTATTATAAACAACATGCATTTACATTTTAGATTTACTTGCTTTTCTGGCAAAACTATAGTGTTCTCGGCTTTTATGTTTGTGGTAAACGGTATATAAAATACAACACCAAAATGTTCTTGATAAATGTTGGGTGGAAGCATGTTTATATATATATATATATATATATATATATATATATATATATATATATATATATATATATATATATATATATATATATGTGTGTGTGTGTGTGTGTGTATGTGCGTCTGTGTGAGTGCGCTAGCGCGTGTGTCTCCATTCTGTCATTTTCATTTACACACCAGCTCACCCCACACTCTGCTACCCTTCTCCATTCCTCAGAGTGTAACTCTCAAGAACAGGAGACAATGTCTGCTTTCATTTATCTTGTCTGTAAATTAGTACACCAGATAGAAGACAAGGTATATAGTGAAGATAGATAGATACTACCACACATAGATCATCCTCTCTCCACCCTCACATCTGTACTCGCAGACATACAATGTATCCCGTTAGTACCTATATATATATATTTCACGTCTCCACAGGCTGCTCACTACACACCCAATGTTTCCGTGCCAAACACACCTTTGACTCAGAACGTCTTGCTCTGACGTCACAGTATCTAGCTGGTTAAAAGATTACCCAGATTCCATATTTCTGCTATGAGGCACAAAACTTCGTTTGTCTGGTCAGAGAATAATTACTTGTAGGCTTTAATATCTTTACAAATGGTGTAGGTTATGTAGAGCACACACTATTTAGTCTGCACAGGGAAAGGTTTAATGTTCGGAGCCTGATCTCTGGACATCAAGAACGGCCTTACTCTGTGCGATCACACAGCTGAATCTTCCCTCTCTGCAGCAGTGGCCAACTTTAAAAAGTCATATATTATGGTAGTAGAAAACTATAATCAACTTACCCAAGCTTAGGAATTATTCAAAGATAAAATTGGTACTTTGAATGCGCCAATTTTATTCATAGACTGTATAAACGTCTTGACACTTTGGAGATCAGGCTAAAGAATGCCGCTCAAAACCCCCGCTAGCGTCTCTAGGAAAGAAGTCCCTGTATTCATGCCCAAGGAGTAACTAGGCTTACAGGAATTTCTGAATTAAACACCAGAAATATTCATCCTACAGTTGCAAGTTTGAAAATGTAGACTTCTCAAAGCAACTAGAGGGTCTTAAATGAATATTTCACCAGATAGAGGTATATATCAATATAAGGGACTATATACCCCTCCGGACGGGTTTAAGTTTGAAATGTGACGTGCCCGCTTAGGGAATTTCGACTATTTGTATGCAGACTGTCGGTTGTAACCTCTCAGGCATATGCACTCCGACTACGAAGGAAACACCCATCAGTTGTCGTCTTTTACGACAGACTTGTTAGAGAAAAGTGTTGTATTTTTTGTCTCTCCACGCCCCCTCTCCCTCCCTCCCCAAAAGGGGTCCCAGGACCAACATGAAGATGTTAACAAGCAATTTTACCCGCTCATACTCAGTAACACTGGGAAGGATTCCAGCCTGTATAAAAAGGTTGCGTATCTTTTACAGGACGTTGCAGAACCAACTCCCACAGCCCCTGGCTGTTGTGTGATTTTTCTAGGCAAATTTACGTCTAGTAGTTTGTCAATCTGCACGGTCGGCTTTCTTGATACCACTGTCGAAACCAACGCAAGGCGCAAGGCCCGCAGCTGGAATCGAACCAGGCATCCCGGCATTACGAAGCTTTCGCATCGACTTAGCCACAGAGCCGACTCCAGTCTGTATACAGAAGACCATCTTTAACCAAAGAAGGAAGATTGGTGACAATAGATTGGAAAAAAATATTTAAAAATTCATAAAGATACACCGTGGGACAGGAACACGCAGATAAAATAGGGCCTCCAGGGTTATTAGGCTTATGGATCTTAGGCAGCAAGTACATACACGGTTTGCTGAGTTGGCTGTCAAAAACACGTACATTGTTGGCCTGCTTGGGAAGGGTCCCTTGTGAAATAAATGATTGTAACGTGTCCTTTACTTTCTTGTTGTTGAAGACTGTAGGGTCGTCACTTCTGGCGGAGTAGAAAACGGGGTTTCCGAGTTGGGCCCTAATTCCTCAATATAAAGACTTTTCGTCCAAACCACCACAGCGCCGCCTTTGTCAGCCGATTTTAGAACAATATCGTCCCTCTTTCTGAGGGAGGAGAGTGCCTGCCATTCACATGTGGAGGTTTCAGCAAAGCAAGCAAGCCGGGTTGAGGCTTTAGAATAAATAAAAATTGCATCCCATATCGGGATGGTGTTTTAATAACAGCAGGCACTACATTGGAAAATAAAGGGATCGGGGAAAAGTCTTGATGTCCACGAGAAACCTTTAAGCGAACGTTGACGACAGAAGTGAAAGCTGCTGGACATGTTTATATCCATGATATCGAAGGAATTGCACAGGATAGAAGAGAATGAAGGAATAGGCTGTGAGCCCTATAAGACACATAACTGCACAAACTGACAATGATTTTGATAGAGTATTACTATACTCTACTTGCTTTATGGGCCCTTGTAAACCCTGATAAGATTCATATGTTGTTATCTCCAGCAGCAAATAACCTACTTGATCGTGAGGCAATTACATGGCCTTATATTGCTAAGCTAAGTTACATTTTCGAAGAAATACTTCTAGCAATTCTAGTATCTCCTTTTATGGTCATAATTTTTGCATGTTTATGTTCATACACTTAGAAATGAGGGCACGTGAATCTCAGTTGCTGCCTGCTGACTTCCTCCAGTGATTGCACATTGACGTACACGTTTGTAACGTCATAATTAGAACTGGCTAGACCTATATGTGTCCGATTCAGCGCAAAAGGAGATACTGGGGCCTGTCATCATAACCCAGGTTGGCCCACTTCCTAGATTGTTTAGGATAGTAACGGGCAGAAACAAATGTCGACGGAGGATCGTTTACTGATGACCGGTAGATTCCCACTGTGTATGCTCCACTGTGGATATTACTTATTATTATGGATCAATGGACACTTGGTGAGAGATGTGGTCAACATCACGTCGATGGCCATTACTTCCTAGGACTTTGGTGCCCATTTAAGGCTACGTCGACCTGCATGCCAAGATCATTTTTGATATAAGTCCGGCTCCGTAAGGACTTGAACCCACGACCTTCGCCACACCACGGCAGCCTCCGGTGATTATTTATCTCTGTGGTCATGTTGTGATGAGATGGAAACAAACATGTTGGGGCGATTCTTGACAGCCTTCTGTCGTGGAATTGAGGAATGTCAAATGAACGCGGTTGCAAATCACAGATTGTGGAGAGGCTTGAACGCCCACGCCAGTCATCAACGTTCTTGCTGATGATGGCGAAGTTATCACTGAACTTATATACATTACTGTGAATAACTGTAGGCTTTCTAGTAGAAAAGATGCTGGCGCTGGATAGGACAGACGTTAATAAGGAAAACAATTATAATGTAAAACTACAATAGCATTTAAACAACATGCTAAAAGAAATAACACACACACACACACACACACACACACACACATAACCACATAGAAGTGAGTTAAGTATAACAGATAAATGAATAAACGAAGAGAAATTAAAACCAGTTAAACAAGATGGCGAAAGATTTTGCGCAAGCTGGTTGAACGCGTATTCTCCATTAAGAGATAAAGGGCAGACTAAACAATGTTTTCTACCTTTGTTTAAGACGTTTTGTCAGTAATGTATACCTCTAGGGCGTAAAGATAGAAACACGAATGACTGCTGAAGATATGATCAATGTGGCTGACGTATAGCCCTCAAGCATGTTGCTCAGCCTGCCAGCCATCAGAGGTGTCAGTGACAGAGAAACGGAGGCAGACTAGAAAGAACCGTGTGACAATTTGCACTTCCAAACTGCTGCTTCCATCTGTTGTCGGAACTGATCAAGAACTTTTTAGGCTCACAGTGGACTCATCAGTCATCATTGTACTCATTCTTTTTGATAATTTCTACTTCTGGATGTAAAGTGGTCTACAGAACAACAACCTCTGAGCTTAAGGCCTACTGATTGGTCCAGTGGTTTCACTCAGCATATTTCTAAGCACATTCCTAAGAGATTA